CTCTCTCACACACACACACACACACACACACACACACACACAAACACAAACACAAAGCAACTAAGCAAGTGTTTCGCAGCTTTAAAGAAAACCAAACCTCATTGACGCTTCAAAGCATTAAGTCACAATTCGGGCTGTTAGTATACTGTTTGAGAATTTTTGTTCCTTTCTTTTTCTACTGCAATGATAGATTTCATAAGTCTGCAACGTTTGCTATTCAATTCCGTTATTAGTTCCACTGATTTCTCTGTCTAATATTCATCAAGTACAAAGGTTGGTACATTCAAAACAATTATTTCAGTTGTTAAAATAAATACATGCTCTAAACTCACGACGGTCGGAGAAAAATGAAACAAAAATCCATTTCCCGTAAAAATCACATGTCATTCGAAGGGCTCTGCCACTCTTCGAATAGCTGTGAACAGCGAGAAGAATCGTCAATATTGAATAATCGAGTCAAATGGGCACAACACCCTTCACTCCCCCACCCCCCATTCCCCCACCCACACCCACACACAACACAGACAGCACAGACAGACGACCAGATAACTAAAAGTAAGGCAATGAATGCTAACTGCCTCTCCTTGGCCTCCCTCCCCCCCTCTCTCTCTCCCTTTTGTCGACCCTCGAGAGGTCAGTTCAGTAGGCCATGTTTTGGCGCCCTTCAACCCGGTCGTACGCCCCTCCGTCCCCTCCCCCAACCCCGGGACCGGCCCCGGCCCGGCCCGGCCCGCCCAAAGCCCAACCAATCACAGGGTTTGTCTCGTGACTAGATCTACCGTCACTACATTCACCACCACCACTATCACTCATCACCACCGCCATTCGCCATTCACTAATAATGTATCAGGAGTTGTCCGCTGAGCAGAATAATAAAGTAGTAAGAGAGTTTGCTTTACGACTGAGAACAGCCTCCAGCCGCCCGCCTCTCGTCATAACAACCTCCCGGTGACCATCTCTCTGTGTTGCTGACCCGCCGAGCGGGAGATTATTTCTGTCCCACACGCGTCTGTCTACCATTTGCCATTGAGCAAATCCTACACCCCGCCCCACCCTTTTCTCCTGTCGCTATCCTATATATACCCCCCCCCCCCCAATATAACAGGGTCACCTTACTACAAAATGTACTGATTGTAAAGACGTGCATTCCTACCCCCTGTCGGTGTCGTCTTTGTGTTTTAACATAGCAGTCCACCTCTTTGACAATTTATTTTTAAAGTCATATTACTTTTAAAAATTCTAGACACAGTTTAGGAATCTACTTACATATGTATTTTACTTCTGATAATCAATTCCTTTTGTAAAAGCGGTAGTTGAAATATAAAAATATCAGCTTATAGAAATGAATTCCGTGTATAGGTGTACTTTAAGCCAATTAAGCGAATCCTCTTCAACCAGTTAAAAGTTTGTACTTGTACCTAATAGATTTCCGTCTTAGTATAGAATCTATTATGGCTCGTTCAACAAAAACGTGCAGGAGATTGCCCTAGCGGAAACGAGTTTGACAACGTGATAAAATAAGGCGCTCGTCAAAACAATGCGTACAAAGAAACAGACATTTTCCTGCCCGTGAGAAATTTTT